ACTTAAGGATTTGACCAGGTGTTTCCTCAGGTTGGACGTATTGCCCTGGTCAGCTTTGCATTTTGCATTACACAGTCTGTGTGCCCCGACTCACTGTGACTTGAACAAGCTGCAGGCACTTTCACACACACACATACGCAATCCCAGGTACCAAAATTCAGCACTTATTGATTTAATGTGAACTGGTACTCTGTAGTATCAACATAATTCAGTCAGCACCATTAAAAGTACAGAGTTTGGTACCCAACCATACTTCCGTTTACGGAGAAGATATCAGTTGAGACCTTCAATGTGGCCTAGGACCCATTCACACTGCTAAAAGAATGTCAATCTGTCCTCAATGCATCTTAGGTGCATTCACACCTGTACTTAGAGCTTTCCACTTGTGATCGGATCACCCTGACACATGTTAGTGCCAGGTGTAAATGGGACCAAAGAAAAGACTGAATGAGTAAATGAAGAAAAAGACGGATGGAAAGGACAGAAGGAAGGAAAGGAGGGAAGATGGGGATTTGGGGAAGGAAGAGAAAGAGGGGGGAGACATATGGGCATGAATAAATTCATACTAATGAAGCCTGACTGATGCACTGCTTCCAACCAACACCTCATCTAATCCGCTCACTGGGAGAGAGACACAGACGGACACAGAGAGGGAGAGAGAGCGAGCGGAGGAGGGCAACCGAGGAAGAGAGAGAGTTGGAATCCCCTCTTGTCTGGCGGCCCAGATTATCTCTGGCAGTGAGGCATGCTGAGAGCCAGGGAGCCACAGCCACGGCAGATTGTGGTCTGGCCAAGGTTACAGTAGCCAGGACCGCGATTGAATTGGACCACATTTAATGGTCAGTGCTGGACAAGGGCAGCCAGGAGCTGTGAGAGGAAGAACTCTCAAAACATATGTGTTCACAGCACATTTCAGCATGCCTGTGTGTCTGTTACTGTCTGCACATTACAGAGCTGGCAGACTCAGCCATGATCCAACAGGACTGAAATCAAAACACACAGGGCCAAGACTTGTCTGTGTGCCACAGACTGTGTGAAGCCTGATGGGTTGGGAGAGACAAATTAAAAGGACACAGTCAAGACATTTAAAACATTTGTTTGGTGGTCCAATTTAGAGTAAAATAGACGATAAAGTCACCTGTGCTTTTGGGCGGGGCTACCTTTTGATTGACAGGTCACTGTCAGTGAGTCTGTCCAGCGCAGCACACAAAACTAAGATCAAACTGTCAAACTAGGCAGTGCTGATCAGATACGAAGCTAGATTCTGCGAGGGGCACCTTGCTTGGGGGGCACAGGAGAGTTTTAGAGGGGAGCAGAGGGAGAGGCATCAGCCACAATTTGCGTCAAAAGATTTATATTCCCTCTCCGAGTCATAACTCAGTCAATCTGAACACAGACATAATGTGCAGATTTTTATAGCTAAATCTGTTTTGTTTTTTTTCTTTTTTAGTCATCAAGCAATAAAAGTACACGTCACAGTCAGCATCTGGTAAGCACTGGGAGTCCCCCAAATTAAGCTACCAAATACATCGTTGTCTATGCCTTCTAGAACTATACATGCATGCCCCATTCCATTCAGATGGGATTAGCATCACAAGGAGAGGTAGAGAATCTTCACTGTGCTTCTCTGTAATTTAACTCATCGTTCCGGGCGGCATTTTAACCATGGTGAAATTATAGGATATGGTCTGTAGACATGGACATTCAGCAGCTCAATGCAAAAAGATATAGTCAGAAGTCTCCCCAGGGGGGAGGCAAAGATACTGCGTGAGGTGAATATGAGTCAAGAATCCTCCTTCTGTGAGTCACAACTCAGTCAAATCTGAACAAACAGACATTAAAAACATATATCATTCAGTGTGAATTCTTTAGGATAGTTATCTCCTATGTCTATTGCAAATGTCTATAAATCCATTCAAAAAAGACCACAGCCCTGTTGCTGTGCCTATGGTGGGGATCAATTATGATATGTCTGACAACTGATCAGATCAAGTTGGACCACTTTTGTTCCAGTCTGGGGCAGCTATTGTTATGAACACTTAGAATAGTTTGCTTTCTGATTCAGTCGCTGTCCATTTCTCTTACTATTATTAAATCAATACAACTCCAGTGATATTCAGTCTCTTTGGATGACTAAAGGAAGCTGTTGGCTCTTAGCTTCAAATCACGGCCAAAGGTTCCTGCACGATTCTGATGTAATCTATATGGACTGATTTTTGTGTCAGTAGAAACTGAATTTGAATCATTTAGAACTGAATCTGAATTGCTCAACTTGAATAATTGCATTAAAAAACTGAATTTGAATTGTATAATTTGAATTTGTATTGTTTAACTTGAATAACTGTATTGAAAAAACTGAATTCCAATAAAGTTAAAACTGAATATAATATTATGAGTCTGAATTCACTTGCAACTGAAACTGTATGTGAGCCTCACTAAAAACTCAACTTTTTATGTACTTTCAATTTCAGTTCTCTAAATTCAAACTCAGTTCTCTCAATTCAAATTCAGTTCTCTCAATTTAATTTCAAACCACTAGATTACAGTTTTAAGGTCACAGACGGGTCAAGGTGTTCAGTAAGAGCAATCGAGTGCAGATGTACAGAGCTCCTTTTTGGCTAAGCAGCACGTTTGTTTTGAACATTTCCTAGACCTGTAGACATTGGCTAGCAAAAACATGCTTAAAGGACACATATTATTCCCCCTGACCTTAAAAATTTTGTGGATGGAAATTAAATTGAGAGAACTGAATTTGAATTGAGAGAACTGAAATAATACTCAAATACAGTTTCAGTTGCAAGTGAATTCAGATTCATAATATTATATTCAGTTTCAAGTTTATTGGAATTCAGTTTCAAACTAATAAATCCAAATTCAAATTATGCAATTCAAAGCAATTATTCAAGTTGAGCAATTCAGATTCAGTTCTAAATGATTCAAATTCAGTTTCTACTGACACAAAAATCAGCCCATAAATCTAACATGGCAAATCATTTTTATATATCTAAATCAGGCTTTCCCCAGTTTTCAGGTGGATATCTTACACCTGTTTCTGGTTCTAAATAACCCAAACTGCATCCCTGAGGTCTCTCCCATCATCTGGATGTCAGCAGTCCTAAAATCACTGCTCCTGTTGGACCGTAAACACTCTGTAGAATCTTTTGATGGCTTGCCAGAATGCTTTGATTTTGATTATTGCCCCAAAGCTACTCCTTTAATCTTCAAATCAAATGCTGACTAACTATTGTCTTCTACCACCACTGATGAGAGGTTTGACCTTCTCGAGAGGATGACTACTGTCAATGATAACCTATCTGATCAAAAAACTAAATGCATCACTCAAAATAAAGACATTTCACTCTTTCAGACTTACTACTTCCCTTATAGCACTTTCTCATTTTCCCATTTGAATATACACTGATCAGTCATAACATTGTGACCACCTGGGCACCCTGGTGGTCATAATGTTCTGCAGCCCCATACCAACAAACTGTGATGCACTGTGTGTACTAACACCTTTGTATCAGAACCAGCATTAACTGTTTCAGCAGTTTGAGCTACAGTAGCTCGTCTGTTAGGCGGCCAAGGCTAACTGATGTACGTGGGGACAGATTGCTGGTCCGTGTGGTCTGAACCATGCCCTGGCTCTGGTTCACCGCTTTTCCTTCCTTGGAGCACTTTTGATAGGTTCTGACCACTGCAGACAGGGAACACCCCACAAGAGCTGCAGGTCATCCAGCCATCACAATGTGGCCCTTGTCAAAGTCACTCAGATCCTCATGCTGCCCATTTTTCCTGTTTCTAACACTTGCACTGATATATCCCACCCACTGACAGGAGCCATGATAACCAGATAATCAGTGTTATTCACCTTACCTGTCAGTGCTCATAATGTTATGGCTGAACATGACTATCTTGAGCATGTTAGCATGCTGTCATTTGCATTTAACTCAAAGCACAGCATAAGCACAGCCTCACAGTTCTGCAGCGTGTCAATCTCTCAGGCTTGTGATAACAGCAGATCTGCATTGACGACAAATAATCCTTTGCTATTAGGCATAGTTGTCTCATTGTGCCTTTTCAAATATAAAGGCCAACTGTTTACTTATTTCATGATAAAACTGATCATACTTTAGTTGAAAATCATGACAGCACTATTTAAACTCACCTGAAGAGCCAATGTCGAGAGCTATGACTCGCCAGGTAATGTATTTTTTGCCATTATAATTGATCCTTTCAGGCTCAGAGACACTGGAAGTGGTGTGAAGCGATGAGAGGTGGCACGTTGAAGGGCCACAATCATGTATTTGCCGCAGGTGTAGGGGTTATACATAGAAAACTATAGGGTTATTCTGATGCACACCGAGTCATTTCGCTATTTTTTTAAATTTCTTTATTTCTTTGAGATAATAATTAGTGATTGCAGCCACTTCCTAATTGGAAAAATTCTCCTAGTGGTAGTGCTACAGTATACAAAGGTCTATGTTTTGAAATTTAAAGGTCCGATGTGCCTGCAAGAGCTTTGCAACTTACACCAAAATCTAAGCAGAAGCCACCCAAAAAAGTCAGAAAGTTAAATTGTAAAACTCTATTATGGTTAGTTAAAATTTGACCAAAACGCCAATAGATATAATCTTTAGACCTTTTATAGGAACCTTATTTTTTAACTGGTTTTCAAAATTTGTCCTCTGGTATAACGTGGTAGGGCTAAATTGAAAGATTTGGCAAATATTCCTGCAAACACAAACTCCAGCTCCTCACAATCTAAAAGGAGCGAGGGGAATATGAAGTTTTGAGCAGGGAAAACAGTAAAAAATAATAAAACCGATAAAAAAAAAAAGCCCTAGCAATGGAGATAAAAACAAATGCAATAAATAAACAACACACTGTGTGACAGTGACAAGATGAGCTCAAACCAAAGATAATAGAAAAGGCCTTGGGATAAGAATCTGAAAGGTAATTTAAAATGTGAAGGCGATGATGAGCTGAAGTGTACTCACAATGATGTTGTGTTCAGGCAGGTGGTTGTTGCTCAGCAGCTCATCCTCCTGTACTAGCGGGGAGGGTCTTGGAGGAGGAGGGCGGGTGATGTCTGCGGGCATGGAGCCGGGGCTCCCCATCCAACTGATAGAGTTACCTACATGGAGACACAGCCCATCACTGCCTGTGTGTGTATGCATAATGTGCGTGTATGCATAATGTGCATGTGTGCGCGCTTGGCTGCTTCTGAATGGGCGTAAACCTACATATCCATTTGGCAGCTTTATTGTTTGAGCTGTCGACAGCTTGATAAATCAGCAAGCTTTATGGGAAGTGCATTGACGCATCGACCCAGGCTTTAGTGTTTGGACATACAGGCTCAGTGTGTATCGACGGCCTTATTGACAGCTGCCGTGATTGAGTGACACCTGGAGGGCTTTACCCTCCGGCTCCTCTCCTCACACCTCTTGAGCCGTGCAGAGGCCTAATGCAGCAAGTACAGGCTCTTCTGAATGCTGCGGCTGTAGCATGTAGCTGATATATAAAGAGGTAGTGTTCACTTCATGCTGTGAATGTCGCTGCAGGGGCCAGCCACCCAGACTGATTCAGGAGACATTGCGTTGCAAGAATTTTTTTTTCATTTATTCCCATTGAGTTGCTCCACAGAGTATCTCTGATGGTGACTTCTGTTTTCATAATTTGGCTCCTCAGATACATTAGTTTATAAAAACAATATTTTTGGTTAGTCAATTCAATTCAATTCAATTTGATTTGTATAGCGCCAAATCATAACAGAAGTTATCTCATGACACTTTTCAAAATAGAGCAGGTCTAGACTGAACTCCTTATAAAATTATTCTTAAAATTATTATAGTCTTGTCTCTATATTCCAAACAACCCCTGGAATTCTACATACTCAAGTGGGTAAAAAAGGGTAAAAGTGTCTGAAGCTGCAAAAAGAGCATTATAGGATGGTAACACATGCCATAAAACCACAAGAAATAATTTCCTGATATACTTTTAGGATATTTTGGATTGGTTGCACGAAATTCGCTTAAGCTATATCCTTAGGAAATGTCTTGAAATAAATAAGATCTGAACATGCAGTGAGGCGCAAAGGAATACTTACACCCCAATTTACACAAATAACAGCAAAAATGAGGGAAAAAGTATAGTTCGACATCTAGGGAAACATGCTCCTTCTCTTTCTGTTTAAGAGTGACATGAGAAGATCGATACAAATCTCATCTGTGTGTTAGGTACATCTATCTTAGCTTAGCATAAAGATTATACACTGTTAACCGTAACTCAGTCCACTGTGATCACTGTAAAAACAACTATAACCAGGGCTCGATTATCCTGCTAGGGGTCCCTAGGTAAAAGAGCTGAGGGGCCCTTATTGGACCCCCATTCTTCCTTAGTGTACACACATCCATCAGTACACATAATAATTATATTTTGCATATAGAATCTCAGACACAGTTCCCACCCTCCTGGAATACTGGCCCCAGGTTTGATATGTATACATTATTTTGTGTTAATTTGATTATTAAATGTAAATATTAATGTTAAACATGAAAACTGAATAATAAAGGTCTTAACTATATCATCAAATCAAAATTCCATCACTGAATCAATTCAGTTTGAGGGCCAGTAGTCAACAAATAAATCATGACAAGTGTAGACTCACGCAGGCAGTTGTTGTTGGTGAACATGCGCTGCAGTCTCAGACAGTCCTGCCACTGGTTGCCACTGCCTTCACAGTTGCACCACAGCGACACGTCTGCAGAGCTGTTGCTGATGTAGTTGGGCGTCATGATGGTACCTACAAGTCAGAGGGGTCAGAATTGGCAAATGTTAGCTCTGGACAAGTCAAAGGACCCACATGAATATTTATCACAGTAATTCAGAGATGTAGACGCAATCAGTAGAGACAAATTACACCATAGCCCAAAAGATTGGAAGCCTCTTCTGGCTTCTACACTGAGTTTTGCTTTGTGCAATTTGGGAGGAAATCAGCTGAATTGGTTCATGGCAGAAAAAAGAAAGAGGAGACTGTTGTTTTAGTTCAAACAAAGCTGAAACATAGCCTGTAGAAAAACATGATGTAGACTCTGGGACTTTTCCTGAGGGAGCTGAAGGGACGTTTTGAAGCCTGGAGTTGGTGTTTTTCTGCTCAATGCCATCTTGGCAATTTTAAGAGCCAGAAAGCCCAAATTTTGACAATAAGCTGAGGCAGCAAACACCATAGCTGAGTGTGACACACACTCCCAAAATATACCACTTTTATGTCTTAAAGAAACACATCAACATTTTGGGAAATACACTGATTTGCTTTTTTTCCAAGAGGGAGATGAGACAATCAATACCACTCTCATATCTGTGCAATTAGCTGGAGCTAGTAGTTTATTAACCTAACTTAGCATAAAGACTGGAAGTAGAAATGTAAAAATGACTCCCCCACTTGATTTGTGTCCCCCATGGCATGAAGCTGCTGCCAAGGCGCCCCTTATTTTTCCACACTTTTGTTAGTGTTTGGTTTAGATACAGTAGCTCTAATGTGTTAATCAGTCAACTTTAGAGGTGTCAGTTGGCAAATTTTTGAACTTGGGTCAGAGGTCAGGCTAGCTATTTCCACCTGCTTCCAGTCTTTATGCTAAGTTGGGCTAATTACATCCTGACTCCAGTTTTATACTGAGCTCAAAGACATGGGATTGATATTGATGCTGTCATCCAACTCTTGTATGAAAAGCTTATTTTTACACATTTTCTACAATCTACGTTTACCTTTAATTACCGCTGACCACTTGCCAAAGCATACCATAGGTTGTTTCTAAAACTGCTGTTTTCCTCGTATTGGTCGATGAATTAAGGATTTATTTCGAGTTGCAGGTTTGGAGATGCTCTGACCCAGTCGTCTAACCATCACAATGTGGCCCTTGTCAAAGTCGCTCAGATCCTCATGCTGCCCATTTTTCCTGCTTCTAACACATCAACCGGAGGACAAAATGTTCACTTTCTGCCTGATATATCCCACTCACTGACAGGAGCCATGATAACCAGATACCTGTTAGTGCTCATAATGTTATGGCTGATCAGTGTCATAACCTTTAAGATACAATACACAATTATCAAGTGAGTAGGCAACACTCACATTCACTCAGTGATAGAAGTGAGGTCACATTCTCCTGTGATCAAATGCTATTTGGCACTGCACTGCATTCACGTTGTTTGGTCTCTGGCGGGCTACCCTTTTGTAATAATATGGATTACACGGGTTGTGCCTTTAAGAAAGCTATAAGCCTTCTAAAAAAGTCATCCATCATTGTCAGAGTGAGCAGAAAGCCACTCAACACTTCTCTATCCACATCTCTAGTCAGCTGTCATGCGTCCTCACTTTCTATCTTGCTGCTTCTTCCTCTCCACTTTTGCTCCGTCTGATCACCTCATTCACACACTTTCTGCCTCCACCCATTACTCTCCCGTTCCAGCCATCTATCCATCCACTCACTGGAGCCTGTGTACTTTTATTTTCACATTTGTGCGTTATTAGCTCTGTTTTAGAGTGTCCGAACAATATAGTCCACGTTTCTTTTTGCTGTTGGGTCTACCATGTAGCTGGCAGTCAACCTGACAATTTTTTGACAAATTGTTTGCTTTGCTACATTTCAGTCCATCTCTTTATTTCATAATCGAGTAAAACCTCCAAATTTACTGCTTTAACTTTTTATAAAGTAAAGTGTTCTATTATTAGATCCCTCAAAGCTCATTAATGTCATGACTCATTATTTTACACAGCAAGATCATTTGGAGTTTAATACATGAGTATTGCCTATGTTTTTATTTCAGAAGAAATTATATCTTTAAATATCTCATATGCACAGCGATTACTATTATATACAATATGTGCTATTGTAATTAACTCAGTCAATATTACTTATATTAACCTTACATTACTGCAGTTGCTGAAGATGTGTTGTCGAAATACCAAAGTACCTTAGCAGCTAAATAGCATAAGAGATAGAATTACTAGTCTAGACTTACTAGTTTGAGTATTTTATGATGCATGAAAGGTAGGCCCTAACTTTCATATATCTGTTTATTGATTGGTAGATGACAGCATGAAGAAAGGGATTGAAATAGGACAAAAAGCTTTAACTCTGGTGGCCTGCAGCATCTTTGGTTTCTGTAACTTAGTATGGGGTCTAACAGGATCTTGCTTTGCTTCTGGGTTAAGATGCAATAGTGCTCTGCTCTCAGGTTGGATCTGAGATGTTGAAATGTTGATGATGACAGGTTGTAAAGGAAGCTGTGTCGAGAGGACAGAATTGTCCTCTCTTGCTCTTTGATTGAGCTTTAAATATGTCCTTGTGTGTCCTGAAATCTTGACTTTTACTTAAGCTACCATTCTTTTTTCTTTGTGCTTGCTCTGTAGTTTTCAACTTAATCAAATTTCCATGCATACGCTTTATACCATACATTTTACAATACCCTTTTCTTTACAATTTAAACAACGTTGGAACTAATTGGTAGGTAAAATATTTCATGGTGGCTAGTTTTCAGATGTGATTAGAAATCAAAATCACTGATTTGTAACAGTTCAAAAGCCCAGGGCCTCTCTGTCTCAAATTTCAGGGAAATCTGTAGTAGGAATTGTACACAGATCTCTCCTGGAAGTTATATCCTTGTGGAGGTAAAATTAAGCCTTCGTTTTATGTAATTCAACTACTCATCTTTCCTCCTTCCCCATTTCCCTCCCCCCTCCGCCTGTACCCCTTACCGATAAGTCCAGCGTAGGCTCGGAGGCACAGGCCTGCTGAGTCTTTTAGACAGCCGCTGGCCGTCACAGGAGATGGCTGGCAGTTATTAAGGAAATCAGCCAGTCTGGACCTGGCAACAACACAAACAACAACTCAACATCAAACACAAGAAGTGGGAAGGAAATCTGGAAGTGTATGTTGAGGTTTTGAGTCCAATAGCAATGTTTTTTAAGAAAGTATTGACACATTTTAGTACTTGTACATTTAGGCTTTTCTCTGTCCTTCACTTTCTTCTTGATACGTTTGCTTTGGACCCACTTCAGCCTTTTCCTAATATACAGGACTATATATAGGACTCATATCGGATTTATATGCATTTTGAGGGCTATCACCACCTTTGTATGTTGTGCCAGTTTTTGATATCCTTACATTGGTGTCATGTATTTTCCCCCACACATTAAACACTGCAGGGTGAAAAGCCTTTAAAGCAGCAATTAAACCATCAAAATATTCAATCAATAATCAATCATTATCATCATCCCTATCATAAATGCCCAGGCAATGCAATATCCACAATTTATATATCCATTCACAGAAAAAAAGTAAATCCACAAGAAATGTTGAGGAACTTTGGTGAACACTGATAAATTGGTGCCATGGACCACCCTTACAGTACTGAGCTCTGAGGGAACGGGAAGGCGCAGAGACCTAAACAAAAGAGTCGATCATATTAGCTATGTTGCGCCATCCAATTTAACCCTACTCTGTTTAAGTATAATCTGCTCCACAAATGGTCTGCTGTTAGTCATGGGACAGGAGCTGATGGTAGAAATACGTCTCTTCTATAAACTGTGTGAACCTGTTCAGTTCACTCGCTAACTGTGAGCTAGCTTTCAGGGCTTACAGGGCTTTCACACCAAATGCACAAGTCAGACATTGCAGAGTAAGGTCATTATTTCCAATGAAGAGAGTGGCTGAGCTTTCTCAGGCAGCTGCTCAAGATTTTCTGCCAGGTTTTGCAGCCAAAGTTCAGCTACATTGAACATGTTATGACAAATAAAGGTAGGTCTCAATTAGAGGCCTGGTCTGGATTTTATGAAAGTTCTTTGGCTGTACAAAACCTCTTGAAGTCCACTGGGTCGCCTGCTTGAGCAAGTTCTAAGATGCTTAGATCGCACACACAAATATTCTGTAAATGTTTATATTTTTGTCAATATGAACATGTTACACATCGGTTATATACATATTTGTAGTTCCATCATCCAACTTTAATACAGTATTCATACTAATTTAGATAAACAATCTGATATTATTTTCCATCGTTGCTGAGCAAGAAGAATTAAAGGCCTGTCACAAAAAGAGGGTTTTTTTTTTTTTTTAAAATCCAATATAAACTTTAAAATAATAATATTTTTTTTTTTTTTTTTTTTTTTAAAAACCCCTCCCCCCCCCCCTAAACCCCCCCCCCCCCCCACCCCACCACCAACCACAACAAAAAAAAATTTACCACCCCCCCTATTTTAAAAAAAAAAAAAAAAATTTTTTTTTTTTTTTTTTTTTTTTGGAAAAAAAAAATTAAAATAAAAAAAAAATAAAATAATATTTTTTTTTTTTTTATTTTTTTTTTTTTTTTTTTTTTTTTTTTTGGATGATGTTGACAAGATCAAATATCTTCATATATTTTACCCAATAACAGTGACCTTATTTTGCTGCCAAAGTGTTCATTAGCCTACTATAACTATTAGGCAGCACCATGGGTGGTCAATTAGCCCCTGACAATATAATTTTTGGCTACCCCGACAATTAAAAGACAATGAGACCCAAATACAATACAAAGGTAGGAAACTGATGGATTTGGAGACACTACTATAATGACACAATATTTATTCACACACATAAACCTAACCATACATTTGTCTGGGCTTTACGTCTAACCTGCAGAGGTCATCTCGGCGGCAGAAGCTCTGCTGGTGGAGGCAGTGTGGCTGCAGGCCCTCCATCTCCTGGTAGGAGCAGGAGGGTACGATGGTTTTCCTCCTTCTCTCACCACACAGGGTGTTGGTGCAGGGGCAGAACAGCACACCCAGGCTGTACTCCTCGGGCACGCGTTCCAGGAAACGTCGCAGGGCCCGGTGGCACTTGTGCTGGTTGCATCGGTTAGTCCCAGTCACCCGTTTGGTGCAGGCCAGGACGTACTCTGATCGCAGAGAACCACACTTCTCGTACAAGCCGCAGTCCTGTGCTGCCTTCAGGCAATGGTTCTCACCATCCAGCTGCATGAAAGACGAGGCTGAGGAGGTGAAGAAATATTGAATTAGCAAAACACCTATGTGTGCAGAAAGTTGGAAAGAGGGAAATGTAAGTGCCAAGTGTCATACAATAATTGCTCAAAAACTACATCTTATAGCTACCAGTACTGTATTAATCTGTGAGTTGCAGCAGGAGTAGAGAACTATGATGATATATTTTCCGTGATGTATTTTATAATGTTTAAGGGAGAAACAAAAAAAATGCAAAAAAGGGAAAGTGTACCAGTACCATCAACCATAACCATCAATTTCAGTGGCAGTTTGAAAATGCAGTCTCATAAAGTCAAACTCCAAAAATATGATTCCTATTGGTACAATTTTTATATTTTGACGGATAGTCAAAGTTTTTTAAAACTATGTTGTTGCCTACTTAGTGTGAAGAGTAACATTTGTAGGACTGACAGATGTTTCAACTGTTTTTCTTGTCTTAAAAACTATAGTGTCTCACTTCATTCATGATCATCCTTCCTTCCAAGCCTTCCCATAAATGACACTGAACCCAGTCAGCATCCTATAAGCAACTACTGGCAGTAACGGCTTGAGCGTGGTTCAAGGCTAGGTGTGTCACAATATGTGTCACAATATGTGTAAAAGAGGTTAGCATAGATGCTGCTAGTGTCAGTTCAGTATCAGAACTTACAGTATTTCTTCACTGAAGGAAGCGCAAAGAATGAAACTGAAGGCTTTTTTCGATGAAACGGATGTTTTTGTTCTTCTCCTGAATGACTTCAGTATGAAATTGAGTACATTATATGGTTCGTTGGTGTGATTGGTTGATAGACGATGACAGACAGATGGTTCATCCAATCATTTGTATGTGAAGTATTTTCTGAAAGTGCCTGCCCTTTTTCAAACACTTTCAAATGATGATTTCCTAGGTAGGTAAAACTGGGTAACAGTAGGAATCCCTGAAGGAGAGCCTCTTAAGTAAACTGAAGTAGTAGTTTTGGTGACAAAATTATATAAGACCTATTTCCATCCCCAGACACCTGCAGAGACCTCCAGCGGTGTACCAACACCACCCCAAACAGTACATGGCCCACCCTTATCGCTGCGCTAATCTGAGAACCTTACCAGTCATTTATATTGTTCTAACGGTGGTGGTAAAAGAGAATTCATGTCGTCACCAAAATTGAAATGGGTTCATTCTCTGGGGTGCATGAATATGCTCAGTGGACTTTATGGCTGCCCACATTGAAAAGGGAAAGAAAGGGCCAAATGGCCAAATTTCGACCATTCGACCACCATTTGGTCAAACACACTTTGGTCGTATTTAAAGGAGATTGCTACACCATTCATCCTATGAAGACTATAAATGGTTGAGGAAAGATCAGGTCATAAAAATGAATAGCTAACTTCCTCTGGAGTCTGTGAATGTCCATAAAATTGTGTGGTAATCTGGTCAGCAGTGGTGTATATTTGCTCTGAACCCAATTTTAGCTTCCTTGGATCCTAGAAAATAATGTGATGACTGACTTGGTAGCTTAGTGGTCTACGATTACTACACTTTGTAGCAGTACTGTCCTGATTCAAATCTTGCCCATGGCATATATCATTCTCCTTGAGAAGCTTATAGTAATCTTCTCTGGCCCAACTAGTCAAAAAACAAGTTAGCTAAGAAATCAACAATTTCCGAACAAAATGAAATACCATGTTGGAGGTCTGAGGGTGTAAATAAGTGCTAAGACAGAAAGAAGAGGAGGCAAATGAAAAGAGATGGTCTCTAGTTATATCTGTATATATATATATATATATCTTTATTGACTGATACATATTGATTAAGATGTCTGAGGCTTAGTGATTCATTGAGCTGCTTCACTGACTTGTATGATTGGCAAGACAGAGCTGTAGAGTCATCTGTCAGTCCATGTGTGACAGTGATGGACACTGACTCAAACTACCTAATCATAACAAACACTGCATGAGTGACGGTGTGTGTGTGTGTGTGTGTGTGTGTGTGTGTGTGTGTGTGTGTGTGTGTGTGTGTGTGTGTGTGTGTGTTTTACCTGCCACTAAGGAGGCCATGCGAGTATCCATTAGCGTGTCATCATAGGGAGATATTTCCAGTTCATCTTCCCCTGGAGGAAAAAGGAACACACAAACATTGGCAAACAATTGAGTGGTCATTCACAATGTGGCCCATGGAAGGTTGGAAGGACATCTAAGACAAACACTGAGGTACAGAAAGCAAACGGTGATTGACTAACACCAATGAAACTCAAGGTGACCTCCCTCCCTCAAACCAGAAGGTAAAAGATGTAATCTGCAATGCGGCCATGAGATGATCTGAAAAGAATAAAATCATTCTTATGTTTTTGAGTTGAATGAAATGGTCTTACATTGGTCATACTTAGTAAGGCCATGCCCATTCCTGGGCTGGCAAATCTGAAAATGCAGATAACATGAAAATGTGTGAATTGTGTCCAAAATACCAACTCGAAGGCATTTTTTATATAAAAAATAAAAGACTGATCTGATATGATTTCAAACTCAAAGTTTTTCCGTACTAGTTCTGGAAAAAAAACTTTTGGAATACAGAATTGAAGACACAAAAGCCAAAGATAAACCAGGTCCTCAAGTATATTTTTTCAAAAACATGAAGTTACGAATTGATTCATGTGTTTGACATCAACAATGTTTTAGAAGAATCAGCACTAAGGAAATCTGATAGAAACTGTTTCATAAATCAGCATCAGCCACATTAGAACGGGAAAGGCTACTAGTTCTTCTCTAAATAAAAAGCTCAGGATTAGGGATGGGGCCGATCCGTTCCAGTATCGGTATTGGGACCGATACCAGCGTAATTCAGGTATCGGATGTTCCCGATCCAACCTGCGGAGATATCCGATATCCATGAGCCATGTCTGCCCTTTAACGTTGTCTGCTGAAATGACTCCACAAGTGATTCCTGCCGGCCAGTCTGCTAGCTGGCTGCAAACTGTGGAATGGATTTCCAGAACGGAGGCGCGGCTCAATGAGACAGAGTTATGAGACACGCCCCGCTCAGGAAATCCATTCCGCAGTTTGCAGCCAGCTAGCAAAGCCGTGATTCAGAGAGATGGAAGCTCCCTCGCGTCGTACAACACTACGAACGCAATCAAACATTTTAAAAAGCACCACACGAATGAGCACGAGGATTACTGGGTCAAAATGAGAACCACCACTTGATTATTAAAGTAGTATTACAGTTCTTACATGATACAAGGCTATATATGAACATTTGAAGCAGTAACATTATCCTTAGAGTGACTTCCTGAGGAGGGCAGTAATACGCCTAGAAGCGTCTAAACTGCCGGAAATCCATATGAAGAAGAAGAAGAGCAGGGGCAGAAAGACAAAAGGAGCTGTCAGGAATCACTTCTGGAGTCATTCCAAAAACAAGGTAAACTCCAGGCAGACAACGGGAAAGCTAAAGGGATTAGTGTGTGTGTGTGTGTGTGTGTGTGTGTGTGTGTGTGTGTGTGTGTGTGTAAGATGTTTACACTTATTGCACTTTTCTTATATTTCAATTATTTGACATTTTGGGAATTTCATAAATATTGACATGACAATAAATTTGAAACCCTTACAGTTGCATATTTGTTTTCAGGATGGGATTTTTCCTGTTAACAGGATTTCCTGTTTTTCTGACTTACTTTTCTGACCTTATACTTACCTCAAGTTGCCTTTTGGGACATACATGCATACATACGTACATATCATACTTGCCTGTTGAGAGGAGTTTATTTCAGCCTCATATAAAATCAACAATAATGATAATGATAATATTAAAGCAAACAGAGCTCTGGTATCGGAATAGTATCGGTATCGGCCAATATCAAAATTCAGGTATCGGGATCGGATCGGATGTGAAAAAATGTGGATCGGTGTATCTATATTACTGTTTGAGACTGTAAAGTTTGATCGCAGTTTGTAAATCGCAACATTTAATATAACAAGGTGATTCTGATTCATAGAGTCAAGATAAGACTCTACAGAGGTACCAGTAAGCAATGACCCACAGGAGAGTAAATACAAGTGTATGATACAGGAAATAGATAAGACAGTGGTGGAAAATCCTCCAATGATGAGAAGATCATGGGTGTAAACATGAGTCATCTACAACATGCATTTGTACAGTATGTTCAAACAACTAATCTTTCATAACAGATCAATCATCATCATGTTGCTCTTTGTGCAAAGTAACACAATTCTATTCTATCTCTGAATTAAGTTGTGCAGTGCATTTTCTGACAATTCTTTCTATCAAATTAACATTTACTTTACAAAAGCTAATTAGAAGAACAGAGGCCTCCCCTTGCATCCCCTGCAGTGGAGAGAGGTCCCTGAAGTAAAACCAGCCATTCTCACATCTAAAAATGTTGGCTTCTTTACTTCCCTCTATGAGTCTCTTTTCTTACTTTAGTGGAGAGTGCACAGCCTCCCCCACTGTCTAGTGACCTCTACTATCTACCTATCTCCACTATGCAGGTTTTGATTTATAGTTCAGCACTGGATTTCAACATGATCAAGCCATATCACGCTTTAATTATATTTCTCACGCCACGTGTTTATCTTCTTACATCAGGTGAGTCCTGAACCATCCCTTAGTTATGCTGCTATAGGCCTAGACTATCGGGGGATTTCCCATGGTGCACTGAGCTCCTCCCTTCCTCTCTCTTTATGCACTCATTCATGTCCCATTAATGCATGTTACTAACTCCACTTCTTCCCCGGAGTTCTTGTGCTTTCTCGTCTCGCAGGTTCTCATGGATCCTGGTGGAGCCTCCTGCCATGGTCCTGCTTGACTGCCATTGCCAATACTGTTGTTGCTGTGCACCTGTCTGTCTGTCTGTCTCTCGCTCTCTCTGCCTCTCCCTCTCGCTCTCTCTCTCTCTGCCTCTCTCTCTCTCTCTCTCTCTCTCTCTCTCTCTCTCTCACCCCAACTGGTCGAGACAGACGACCACCCACCTAGAGCCGGAGGATCAGTCCTAGGTTTCTGCCTTTTAACAGGCAGTTTTTCCTTGCCCTTGTCGCCAAGTGCTTGCTCATGGTGGTACTGTTGGGTCTCTGTAATTAATGTTTTAAAGAGTTCGGTCTAGACCTGCTCTATTTGAAAAGTGTCCTGAGATAACTTCTGTTATGAACTGGCGCTATACAAATAAAATTGAATTGAATTGAATTGAATTGAATTACATTTATTTTGTGATACAAAGAGAGCCTGGAAATGTTAACTTTTTTCTCATTGCTGAATAGGAGAATTCTGCCGTATACTCGCCATATTTACCTTCTGTCATTCACTGTGATAGAGAACAGTGATCCCAGCGCGCATGAACTACAGTGGCAGTAGATTTATAGATTAGTGAGCCTTACTTTAACTTCTTGATATTGTCTTCACTATCAACAATTCCCATTGGCATCAGAAACTTGCAACAGAAAAGACAAGTCTCCATGTGGTATCCCGATAGTCTTAGTAGAGTAGTTGAGAAGTTACATTATTAAGGAGGCATATATGTTCTATGTGTAGCGACATCACCTAGATGCATGGACTATAAATATATATACGAGATTTAGAGGATCAATATAGCAGCAAACTATTTGCTATGTAAATATATATTTGAGTAATGGCTTCCTGAGCAGGGAATGACGTGTTGGCTTCGAGGAGAAGACTGAAATTGCTGTTTTTTTCTCATCTACCTCAGTGACTTAAGTATTTATTTCATCTAAGTGAGAGTTTGAGATTGTTGTTGGAGCAGTGGAAAGACTAAAAGAGACAGCTTTGATAAGTTTGATTGTGTTTCTGGCGAGTTTGAATAAAGTGTCTCTTATGATTATCTGGAAGGTTAAATTACAGTTTTTGTCTATGGATTCTGGTGGTGAGAGATAGCAATATAAAGGCAGTTTCTGGTTAAACAAAAATAATCTTACTCTATAACAAAAAGGTATTTTTCTGTATGGATCCTTTCCATAATGTTGTCAGACACTTAGAATAACAATCTGAGCCTGTCAGTGGCAAAAACAAGCACTTTTAGTGGCCAGACCAGCGCATTTGTCCTCAAGGATTAAATAACATTACAATGCAGCCATAGCAGCCAGTTTTGCAGCTATCTTCTCATCTAACATGATGACTTAAAGTCCAGTGTGTAACATTTAGGAGGATCTATTGTCATTTTGATGAGTTTTATTTTGTGTCTGCTAAGTTTTGAATGTTGTTGAAGTGTGCTTTATGATGAGTCTTTTTGTCAATGGAGTCTGGTGGGCCATAGAGCTGAGTCAATTGGTTTGGTCTATGCTGGTGCTCTAGTGCAACATCTACTCTGAAAGTCGTATAAAACTCTTTAACAGTCTACTGCCATGCTAGCAGATCTGTGAGGCTGTACCTAAGCACAGCGGGGCTTTTTGCTAAATGCTAATGTCAGCATGCTAACATACTCAGAATGACATAACAGGCCGATATTAAGCAGATATAATATTTGCCATGTTTACCTTTGTTGCTTTGAATGTTAACTTAGTATGATTTGCAAATTATCACCAAATGCAAAGTAAAGCTGAGACCATTGGGAATGTCATTAGCTTTGCAGGTATTTGGTCATAAACCTGGACAAAAAGAAATGACCTGCTGGTGGTGCTCTAGATAATAAGGCAAACATTGCCGTAGTCATTAGGATACACTGTCAGGGAACCATTAATGTCTTTATCATATTTATTGCCAAACAATAGTTGTCAACACATATTTCAGTGGATAAGTGAAAACTTTCACGTATTTGTGGTACAAGATAAAAAGTGAAGGTCTCAACGTAGCAGTTAGGATTCATTTCTGTGGGGAACATGCTGCTGACGATCACCAAATGTCATGGCAGTCCATCCAACATTTGTTGATATGTTATCCAAAACCAAAAATGTCAACTTCATTTTGTTGTCATAATGTTATAAAGAGTTCGGTCTAGACCTGCTCTATTTGAAAAGTGTCCTGAGATAACTTCTGTTATGAATTGGCACTATACAAATAAAATTGAATTGAATTGAATTGAATTTTGTAATGAAAGTCAGAGGATCACTAAAGTCATTAGGATTTATCTTCTGGGGTTCATGAATGTCTGAACCACAATTGCCATAAATGTGGCTAAAAACAGCTCCACTGGAGTGCTGACATTCATTGGTGAATGTCTCTAACATTTCCAAGACAGAGCTGTGTAAGTTTGGGTAAATTAAGGCAAAATATGAAAGCGGTGCACAAAACTGATGTAGATCAGAAGATCACGTTGTCCTCTATCAGCCAGTATTCTTCATGTCAAGTCCAGAAGTTCAGAGATCAGTCACCCTGCAGCATCTCATCTGATAAGAGCCACACTCTAGTTGTTTAGGCTATGTTATTAGTCTTGGATAACACTTTATGCTCATTATTTAAATGTGACTTATTTAAACACTACACAATGATAATGTAAAGGGTTATAATTACTGCAGTACAAGGGGGCGCTGAATTTTCACCACACAAATGACAAAGTCTGTCATTGTTCTTCATTTTGTTTCATTTCTCATTTAAAAAAGCTATTCAGCATTTTCAGAAATTCACTTACTTTCCTTTTGGGAATGAAATGGGAAGATTGATATCAATCCCAAATCTCTGCGTTTAGTATGGATCTGAAGTCAGGGCATTGGCTAACAAGACTGGAAATACTGGGAAACAGCAAGTGAGTTCAATATTACCTACTAATACCTCACCAATCAACACATTATAAATCAGTTGTTTGATTAAAACAGACACAAACAAAAATGGAAGTAAGTAGAGTAACTAATTTTGCTAAGCTAGGCTAATCAAACCCATGGCCAACCCAGTCTCGTCAAATACTGCTTCTTGGTCGGTGGCCCGTCTCTTCAAAATATGACGCTGTAGGTTTCCCTCTAGCGTCAAACGTACTTAAGTTACGTAACGTAACTCACAGCTTTCCTAAACAGCCCCCCAATCTCAAAAATTATTGAACCAATCTCTGTGAATGAGGGTGACTGAAAAGGGTGGATAACAGTCATGAAGGTGAGTTGGATTAAATATGCATAGTTAGTGGTAACGTTAGTGTAACATACTGTATAAATCACAAAATGATGCTTGCCTGTTAATGTGCCTTCTGCTGAAAAATCCCCTTTTTGTGTGCAATTTTCACTTTTCTCCATAATTTCATTGCAAAAATGCCTAAAGACACCACAACATGGATTACAATGTTTTAGTAAAGCTGCTGTGAAATCAGGCATTATCATCAATAAAACAACAATCCCAAAAACAGCCTGCAAAATCCTTTTTGTGGCTAAACCTAACCAAACTGCAATCATTTGACACATTAACCACGCAAGCTTTATTTTGAAAGTCTAACCGGCGGACATAGTATATTTAGTCTTACTAACCCGCCCCCGGAGCCCTGCATGTCTTAAACTGAACTGTGGTATGTACAGCGCCAGATTTTGAAGTGGGGGCCCACTGACCAAGTGGGTCAAGTTGGGATTGAGAACAGGTCCAACTCTGTACTATATGCACAATCATGTGAGTGGCATCTCACTGTCCAAGAGAAAGCAAATAAACAGTCCAGAAATGTAAAACTAGTTATATAAAAGACATGAGCTATAAAAAAAGTCTTGCTGATCTAATGTAGTGCATTACCCTTCTTGATGCTATATCATTTTTGTTATTCTCATTAAAGAGGGCTTTATATCCATGCAACACAACATTATACAAACAACCTATGTAAGCCAATACTACAGTACAGTCCCTCCATCATTTAAATCTCATCAACATGGCCAAAATGAGGATAAGATGAGGAAGATAGGAGGGCAAACCCAAAGTCACCATGAGCTCATGTTATTGACCAGAGCTTTTGTCCAATTGTGAGAGCCATTAGCAGAGCCTTGACTGACTAGTGGACGAGCCGTTGTTCCTGCAAATTATTTAAACACACTCCAAAGTACAAACTCAATCAAGAATGTAATGGCATGTAAAGTGTTTATGTATGTAAATCCTATTCTAGGCTATATATTTATGGTAATGACACGCTAGAGCAGCCTAGCAGCGTTAGGAACTGAAGAGTGTGTAATTACACTAATGCTCCGCTGACTAATAGGCCACAGGGGAGGAGGAGTCCGCTGGCTAGTGTTAGCTCACTTACTGATACACACATCACACCAGCACCACGGATATGCTTTTGTTACTATGTGTGTGTGTGTCACATAGATGACATAGATTTGTGTAAAAGTGTTAAGATGAGGGCTATAGAATAAACGTACAATAGTTTTCTTTTATCTCATGTAAATGGGAATGTGTTTAAGGAATTGCACTGCACTGCCCATTATGTGCCGCAGTAACAATGACCACAGTTGGGTTTTCAAGTCTACCCATGGGTGTTTCACTGGTTGCCTGTTGCCATTTAGACAACCACCTGTGGCATCTGTTGGTGGCTGGAATTATTTTTGGGGTTTGTATGTCAACAAATACCAAAACTAACAATACATCTATCCTACTTAGAAGTACCGTACAACAATTTCCCTCTTTAAATAAAGTTTATCTTATCTCGGCCTGCGTCTCACCCAAAGAGTTTTTCTATTGTCTAAAACACATCAGTGAGCCACACTGTTGCACTGGGTGACATGTTCCTTCATTACCATAAACACATACTGCAGTTTATTTTGTCTCAATCCCACACACACACCATCCTGCTGCCAGGAATAATCACTAGAGCACCAAATGTGGATTCATCCACCACTGAAAGTAGTTCTCTCCTCCTGTTTGAGCAATGTTTTAATTACTGGCCATTTTAAGTATCAATTCTGGTGCTGAAAGCCTCAGACAGGGTAGGAATATTTTCTAAGTCTAAGTATTGACAGATGGAGTGACACATTCCTGGTTTTGGTGTTGTATAGTTTTTTGACTGTCTTCCTGCCAGTGTGATCTGCTCTGTCCTGCTTGACGAGAGTGGGTCGTGAGCAGAGATTTGCTTCTGGGACGCTCCGCAGCACATACACTCTTTAATCTCTGCTTTTGGTCTCTATCAACTCATTCACCAGCTAGTCTCTAACTGTGTCTGCTGTTGGCTGCTGTGTAGGTAGTGTACAGTGGGTTTATCAGCACTTTTTTTACAAAAAACAGCTGCTGCTGAGAACTACGCTGATAAGAGCAGTGGGATTTAATCAAAACAGTAAAGTTGCGGGCCGTTAAATCAAAACGACGAGCTGAAGGACAATAAAATAGAGGATAGGGGGAGAAGCAGCTTTACATATGCATCCACATACAGACTTCCATGCATGTCCCCCCCATCCCAGCATCAACAGAAGCCTGACTGACCTGGCAGCAGGCGAACCCTCCAGTATATGCGCAGACACTGCTCCTCCTTGCGGTGGCCGCGCTGGCACTTGCAGGACAACAGAGCGGGGTGTTTGGCCAGCAGAGCGTCCTGTCTCTCCAGGCACTCCGCGGCCACCTGCTCCCCCAGTGGAGAGACCGCTGCATCGGCTGCACACAGCTCCAAGCCCCGGTATAACGCCTCACACCGGGGGTCGGCAGAGCACACCCGATGAGCTTCAACACAGTCAGTGGGGGCGGGAGGGTAGGGGTAGATGGGCGCTGAGGATGGTAACACACCTAAAAGAGAACAAAAGTCATGCATGGAGGGAAACATGATTATAGGGAAAGAAGGTGTAAAGGTCAGATATATCACATTAATGTAGTATGAACTCTTCTACACTGGTTGTAGTTAAGTTTAAGGCACCAAAGCAGAAAGCTTCATGCCATTAAGAACCCAACACTTAATGAAACAGGCAACGTGTCGAAACAACCATATTAAAGGCCTGGTTACACCAAAAAGTGGTACGTAGAAATGTAGTGACTATATTCACAAGGCTAGCTATTCTGGAACTGGAACTACTGTAGCTGATGAGCTAAATGCTGACTTGATGAGTTGGTTACATTCACACTAGTCAGTGAAAATATCTCCTGGAGACTCTCTGTTTTCTCTCTGTGGGTTATTTTACTCTCCTCTGAAAGTTTGTCATAAAGTCATTGGAATGATGTGAGCAACACAAATAGACTTTTTGACATGAAATAGTAGGGCAAACACAGGTGTTACCAATGATACTAAATAGGGTCCAGTTCCATTCAGGTCAGACAGAGTCAGCATGCTGCTTTTGTACATGTAGGCTTAATTAGTTGCCCGTAACATCTGTGTTTACCCTACTATTTCATGTCAAAATGGCTGCTGTAAAAAAGGTCTATTGTCGCAAGGAGGAAAAAATGAGGCGAAGATTGTGACCGCTGTTAAATTCATGCAAAACCTACAATGTGTCTGCTCAGCATTAGCTGTATCTACAGTATCTCGCTAACAGGTTTGCTAACATTAGCTGCACAGCTATGGCTGTAGATTGTAAAGTGTGAAAGTGTATTCAATTAAGCAAGGGTGCTTTTCCTTTTTCTTTTAAGAATTTAAAGAAATGAACAGTGATCATACAGAGTAGGCTAACTAAGTGCCACCAAACCACTGCAACAGCTTTTCGAATGGTTAAATGATGCTAAAAACTGAAATATTGAATAAATCACTATAGATGGTTTTAAAAAAACTGCTTTTCTTATCTAGACATATAAAGTGAGCCACACAACATACTGTTGAGAAAGGCTGTGTTCAAGGCTGGATTTTTAGTTTTTGACTTTATTAGAAATGTCGTTTACGTTTTGGTTTCACTTTTCTCAATTAGGATGAACACGTTGTTGCTACCTGATGCCTCTTCTGTTCAGAATGTAAAGAAGGAATCTGTAATATATATATATATATATATATATAATATATGTTCTGTAATATGATTTTGCAGAGTAGGTCCCTAACATAAATCAACAGTTCCCACACTTATAAACAGATTGCATTCATTTAATATTAGTTTGGATATGAATTCATGCTGTGACAGAGTTTGAATGTAAGCAGAACCTTCCTTTCAAGCATTCTCGGTGTGGTTGAGTGGTTTGATTTAAAGCTTTTAAACCCGCCTAAATTAACCAAATGAGTAAAACTAAACCGTTTAAACAGCTCTGAGGTGTGAAAGCCTGACAGGTCAGACAACACTGTGGACCAGGCTTCATGCCAGTAGGCACGGACAAAGCACACAGGTTGCCTTCAATCTAACTTCCTTCAACGAGGAACATCACATATTCACCCTCCTATCAACCATCTACCTCTTTCGGTTTCCATTTATAACAAACTAAAGCATATGCTCTCAAGATATTCACAGCTGGCAGGCGTGGACGACAATCTATGTTTGTTCTCATTTATTTTAGACAGCATTTGGTTTGTGTAGAACCCAAAGTTTCTCCAAGAGGAACTGTTGTTTTCTGAAGTGTTGCTGCTTCGATTTGCAATAGCAAGAAGGAGAGGCTCCCCTGGTAAAATCCAATAGCTGATACGCACAAGAGAAGTGCAGAGAAGTTGTCTGAGGACAGCAGAAATGTCATACGGGGAGGAGAAATAGGGGAACGGAAAGATAGATGGAAAAAGGGAGAGGTGGGCGCAAAGGAGAGGGCGAGAGAGATAGAGGCACAGAGACAGAGAGCGAGCGTACCAATGTGAACCTTGATGGGTTGGACACGCGCACAGTATGAGGCACAATCAGCATGCACCGCCGAAAATGATGTTCTTAGAATCACACAAAGATGACACATATGCACACACACACACACACACACACACACACAAACAATCACACAAAACAACACATATACACACGCGCAGGGCTGCCCTGAGAAGGACCCTTTTATGTGTGTGTCCTGCTGGGAGGGAGACTGGGAGGCACAGAACCCATCATTACTACCAGAACACAATACTGCACAACCACAGGGGAGGGGGCGGAGGGGGCAAAGCAATCTGTCTAAGACATACACACACACACACATACAGACTTACACACACACATCTCGGTGTCAGAATAAAGTGGCTGAGAGAGCATAAACAGCTTAACATTCAGTGCCGGATCAGTAGACAGTATGTAAATTGAATACTGAGTGTGCTGATGAAAGACTAACCACATACATAAAACATTGTTGGTTGAACAAACAGCCTTTGTGGAGCGCCACATCCCGACACTCCGCCACAACTCACTTTGTCCTCACATCAGACTAACCACCCAGCCCGAGCAGCTTGATCCTGACCACCGCGCTGACCAGAGGCTGTCCTGCCTCACACCAGCACCGACAGAGTCACATCATCAAACGTATGCGAACAAATTCATTTCCATCTCCGCTGCACAGGAAACATTATGTTTCAACCCAATGTCCATAACAGTGCAGAGGGACTTTATCAGAGGTGTTTTCCTCATATGGTTGAACCAAACTCAAAGCAGCATGTAGTCCTGTGTTTATGTGTAGGGTAATCTCAGTAATCCAGGTAGTCAATTCATATTACAACAATGCACTGCTTCACAATATCAGAAAAACAGCAAGTCCACCTGGGGTCTCTTGGTCTAAAGAAATGTAAAGAAACAGATTGCCATATTACAGAAGCGTTGTATCTTTAGTCTTAAATTCTGTATCTTATGTAACCTTTCAGACAACTGTTGTTAACAGTGTAGTCAGCGTCCTGTTGCCTGTGCGATGTAAATGGTAAATGGACCTGTACTTGTATAGCACCTTTCTAGTCTTCCGACCACTCAAAGCGCTTTTACACTACGTGCCACATTCACCCTTTCACACACATTCATCAAACAGAAACTAACACATTCATACAGATTCACACACCGATGCACAGCATCAGGAGCAATTTGGGGTTCAGTCTTATAGGCGCAGGCATGCATCATCTTGGACATCGGCCAAATGCGACATATTTAGAATAACATTAATATCTGCAAAGTTCCTGTATTTTATTTCGACCATTGACTCCATGCTACTAACTAGCTTGACATTTACAAATCACTCCATCAAATCAGCCAGACCAGTCCGCATGAAGGTAGCTAACACTATATTGCTACGTTAGCTAGCTACAATCTGACCCACATGGCTACATAGAAACACATAGAAATCAGTCCACAGGCAACCAAGAAAGTATAGGAAGGTCTCCGATTTTAAGTTACATCACAAACCGTTCACCCTTTGACAACAAAAAGTCATTAATAAATAAAAATAATATGGCATATACATATGGCATTAAGATAGGAAGAATCTAAGATAAGATGTTTCCCGATTTTAAATTTATAGAAGCAAATCCTGATTAATTTTAGGAGTTTAGATAAAATTTTGAAATGAGACTTAAAAAGTATGCTTCTGGCTATTAGACTAAAATGTATTTTAAATTATAATTTGGTAAAAGAAATTGCAGTATTAATCATCACACCAGCTAACTAAAGGAGCCGGTACAGAGGTCTGGTAAACTCACTTCTACCTAACTTCACACAAATGGATTTATTTTCAAACTTCTTGCCCCCAAAACGAGTTAGAGGAGATGATTTATGCCACGCTCATACCTGTACAATAAATATAAAGCTAAAGCCAGACGCCAGTTAGCTTAGCTTAGCATAAAGACTGGAAACAGGGGAAACAGCTAGCCTGGCATAAAGTAGTAAACACAATGAATGATTAGTTTCCGTTCTGGTGAGCAGTTGGCACCTTGCATGGCAGCCACTGCCATCAGTGTGTGAATGTGTGTGAATGGGGTGAGTGAGGCATGTAGTGTACAGTGCACTGAGTGGTCGAAAGACTAGAAAGACACTATATAAGTACAGTCCATTTATTATTTACGTTATATCTCATTATTTAACCAGTCAAACTCCTGAAACCATTTTTTTTAATTTAATATTCAATATATCAATATTAATTTGAAGAGATGATAAGATATTAAAGTAGGTTACAGAGAAATCTAACCCAGAGGAAAAGAAGACAAGCAAAGCCAACATTATGTCATTCATGTATATTATTACTAATAGCTAATGTTTTACATTATAATTTTTCTATACTGTGACACTAATCAAACCAGCTTTATTCCATGCCTCACAGACGAGTGAACCCAGCATAAGAAGACCACTCTGGCTCTGTGTCACTGCTCCAGACAGTCTAATACCACATCAAAAACACTGCGCTGTCTGCTGGCCTTTACTGAGCTTTCCGTTGGAATATACAGGAAAAACTAAAAGAAATGTAAGCGGATACCCTCACTGCAGAAAACCAAAGCAGTGACTGCTTACCACCAAAGGTGGTCAATAAAATCATTAATAATGAGGATCCCACATTTGATTTTGCTGCTTTTCCATGTGATACTTGTTATAACAGCATGTGACAAATGTTTTCATCCAGAGCAAATACAGGAAATGCACCATAACATGCAAATGTCAAAAGCCACTGTAGGGAAGAGGTCAGAGTGGATTTACATCCCATTTCCTACCAATAGTAAATATTGGTCTCTAACCATGACCGTGATATTCTTTATAATGCTCCATCAGCAGAATGATATCATCTGTCTGTGCCTTAGAAAACAAATCAGTGCTGAAAACAATGCTATGGTTAAACTTTGGTTAGGTTTAGGCACAAAAACAACATAAACATGTACTTTGCTAAGGTTAGGGGAGCTTTGTCGCTATGGTTACAATAAACACTTGGTTATGGTTAGGGAACGA